TAAACAATTCAGTCCTTCATGCTAAATATGACAGTGGTCTTGGTGTAAACCTAAGATGTGTCTAGACTTGGAGGTAGAGGTGTCCTCTTGGGCACATGCAAGTGTTCATTTGCATTTAAAGTGAGGGATTGCCTGGAAAATAAATCTCCTAAGGAAAAATAAATTGAGGAACATGAAATGTTTAAGGACAATGTGAAGACAGGGCTGTACAAGGGAGAATATTGAACTGTGCATTGCTCTGTTGTAAGGACTTTTGGGTCCAGCATATGCAAACTTACTCTAATAATACAAAGAAAAGGGAAATTTTACTGAAGGGATTCACATAGACTGGAAACAGAAAGTCATTCAGAATCATACAGTTCTAAGCTTATACTACAGTCTCAAAAATCCTGTACAGTGTCTTTATATGCTCTTTTTTTGGCTCATTATTTTCTCCCTAGTTCCTTTCATAATCCCTTGTCCAAACTGATTGACACAGTTCATTGGTTAGATGCCTAATGAGCAGAGCATTTTTTTTAGGGTAACTGACCTGTATCTTGCATATGGATCAGATACTCCACCTGATCCAGCAAAAGGCTATCTTTGCACAAGGTTTTTTTTTTATTTGTTTATTTATTATAATTTTTTTTTCTGATACCCTGAAGCAAAGCTGTCAGAAAGGCAGTTTTAGCTATAGATGTTTTCCATTTGGTTGGTTGGTTGGTTTTTTTTTGGCAGCAATATGACTGAGACATCTAGTGTGCAGATTATATTATTCTAATACTTTGATGATTATATACTTTATCATCAAAACTAGATCACTTTTGAGAATTAGATAAGTGATCTTAATAATTACATTGAAACAACAAACAAATCAAGACTCTCTCAGTAAACTAGAATATGAAGTCAAATTTCCTATGGCATAGATTTCTTTATTCCTTCTGCTGAAGTTTGAGGCAAATAAATGTCACATCCATTATTTGAGAGTGCTGATGCAACATGGTATCATCCATGCTAATACCTCAGTGCATGCCAGTGGTGTTAGGACATGGGGCAACTTCAGGTAAACCATAGACCTACAACCTTGACATTAAGATATTTCATTGTGTTTTGAGACAGACAGCAAAATTCTAGAGAGTAAACCTCATTGATGAAGTTATATACAGGAGAGAAAGAGTGTTTCTAAGAAATTTCCTAGTAACTTCAGAGTGCCAGTTGTTTATTATTATTAGTGGGACCTCAAACGCTTTCTTTGCCCCTACTTCCTGTTGGTGTTTGATAAAAGAATGACTGTAGTTTAAAAATACTTCAATACTTCAAATACCACCAATGATAACCTTTTTGTTGCTGCTGACCCATAAGTGACCCAACTCCAGAATCCCATGCTTAATGTCTGCTTCCTAGAGCAACTCCTACTAGCAACATTTTTAGGTAAGATTCCCTAGAAGCAGAGCGTGAGACAGGTAGTCTGGGAGGCAGTTTAGAAAAGGAGAATGAACTGAGTGAGGAAAGATGCAGCGTCAGGCAAATCTATTCTTGGCCTAATCCACAGGGTGAGCACAAGTCTCTACCAGAGTTGCTCTTTCTATGGGTAAGTGATCAGCCTTCTGTAGTCACCTATCTGTCATTGGCTTGTTGGGTGCACCCAGAAAGAGAGTAAGGATCTGGAGTGTTTAGCCTCCTGGAAAAGGGGGCTGCCATCAACAGCGATGTTCTCTAGGGAAAAAGGGGGAACTGTGTCTGCACTGGCCATGAAAGAGGAATCTGAGCAGAACACAAACAGCATTTTCTATCCTCAGTATTCAAATGAGAAAGCTTGGATATAGGGATTGGAGAGCCTCAGGTACCTGCTACATACCTCATTCCTTGAGTTCATGTTTGCAGTCAGTTTTCTCTTTCCAGTGTAGATGGTCAAAGCAAGCCTGTATACCCCCTCACACATGGGAACAAAAAGTCTAACATGGATTGAGGAGAAAAAGAAAGAGTAGCAAAAATGAGCACCAACCCAGAAAAAGTCTATGACTACACTTTATGCTAAAAAGACAAATGATACTGAAAGAAATCAAGGAAGTAAAGAGACACAACCATGCCTAAAATAATTTTACTTCAATCTTCAAGTTATACCTCAAAAGAAAGAGACAAAAAAAGTTTTAGAACAAGGATGAAAAACCTAAAGAAAACATGATGAAAAGAAGAAGATGCAAAATAAGGAGGCATTTGAAATATGCCTACAAGAAAATATGTCTTGGTTCCGACTATGGAAAAAACAAGTCTTTATATACACATTTTTAAAACAGACTCAACATAGCTATTTTAAAAGGGGGTAAGGGAGAGGCATGGACCTATAAATATAGTAGAAGAATTATATAATTTCTAGTTCTCTACATTAATAGAAACTAACTGCAAATTAACAAATGTCCCTTAACTCTTTGAGAGACATTTTAAAAATCAATACAAGGCATTGCAATATGCCTATGCTTATTTGTAAAATTATTTAAATAGTGCCTAAATAGTTACTGGAAAATAATTTTAGTATTTTCATTTTCTTTCTATAGGGAATGTGCTGAAAAACATTTAATATTAATTTCCAAACATGAATGCTTCAGAAAAGAGTTTGAAGACATTGCTTTTTGTCCCCAGACACTTGGTCATCAGCATTCTTTCTATAATCCTTTAGCATTCCTAATCAAACCTTCAGAAGCTTAAATTATTATTGAGCAATTTATTTAGGATTATGGCTTAATTCATGATTCTACAATGAACATACTATCAACTTTTAGGAGTAAAATCATGAGTAACAGCATAATCTTCAAGACCAAATAGGGTTTGAGCAATTTAAAATACCCAGGACTTGAAGGAATTAATAGATAAGAGGATAGATTCATTATGTGGTCAAGAGGTCATTTCATAAAAATATTTTAAATTAAAAAATTAAAAACCTTTTGGTTTTAAGACTCAGGATAAAATGGATTGGCAAGAATTAAAGAAAATATTGAGAAAGGCTGCAAATTACTCACCTGATTGAAAGACTAATTAAACTTATCTCGAAGGCACTGGAAGTTTTTATCTCTGAATTTTACTGTCTGTGGATGAAATGTTCTTTTATTGTTTTCCAAAAGAAAGTATGCGTAAAAACCTAAATTCTTTCCCTCTGAGAAAAAAATTCAGATAAAATGTGTAAAGGACAATTTTGTGCCCCACTCATGTCTTTCTTATACTATCTCTGAAAAATTAATCTAAGCCAAACTGCTATGAGGGCTGGAAGCTAACAGCTCACGACAGCACCATTCTGGGAATTGTCTGGGGCATACTAGAGAGATCTTATGCAGAAATACCAGAAGGGTACACGCTTACTCTGGGAACAGTATAGTAATTTAGGAATAACAAGAGTTTTATTTATTTGCCTCAAATTTTGATTCACTGATGCAGCAAAAAAGCAGATTGTGGCTACAGTGTGAATTGAGCTGGATTCACAGGTTTTCCATGCTGCTCTTCCTCACTTCTCCACAGGTTCCCATTCAGAACATTCTGTCAATAATGCATCAACATAACAATTCCTGTATCAATCAGTGTGTCTAGGGAATGTTCTCAAAGTTTAGTCTGTACTAGAATGAATCACCAGGAGAGTTCTTTTTTCTTGAGACAAGAGTCTCAGGCTGGAGTGCAGTGGCCCTATCTCAGCTCTTGCAGCCTCTGCCTCCCAGGTTCAAGTGATTCCCCTGCCTCGGCCTCCTGGGTAGCAGGGATTACAGGCAAATACCACCACGCCCAGCTAATTTTTTTGTATTTTTAGTAGAGACGGGGTTCCGCCATGTTGGCCAAGCTGGTATCAAACTCCTGACCTCAGGTGATCTGCCCACCTCACCTTGGCCTCCTAAAATGCTGGGATTATAGGCATGAGCCATCACGCATGGCCAGGAGGGCTTCTTAAAACACATATTGCTGATTCAATAGGTCTGCAGTGGACCCTAAGAATCTGTATTTCTAACAAGTTCCCAGGTCTGCTGCAGGTACCATTTCGAAAATTATTATTCTATGATAATCAAACTAAGTCAGTAAGTAAACATTTATAAACTGTGGGCCTCTGTGATTTCCAGAATAAACTGAATAGTTAATATAATTTAACATTTAAAGTGCATAGAATAATGTTATAGACCAAAGTGTTGAAAGTACTCATGGAAGTCAGAAATAAAAGAAAATTTGAGCTAAATTAATTAAATGATTATGCTCAATAAATATTTTATGAACTTATTGTCCATTTTAGTTATAGCTCAATCATACAGAAGTTTGGGGAGAGAGACTCTCCACCCCCACCCCTACCTCAAGAGGGTATATAATCGTGTATCTGGCCATTTCTCCTTTGAAGCGAAGTGGACAACCGGATGCACTGCTTGAAGTTCTGCCCACTGGGAGAATTTCCCTTTTCCACTCTCCTTTAGGGGTGTCACAGAGAAGGGCTGTAGTGTTGCAGCTGTCTGTTTTTGAATGATGTCTGCATGTCTTACAGAACCATCTGGCTTGACTTCCTTTCCTCTGTCAACTGATCTTAGAGAACTCCTCATGAGGCTATAGATGCACACTAGGAGAGAAAAGGCCGTGTGTCAGAAGTGGGAATAATGGATATTTGGGCCTTCTTCATCTAACCTACTTGTGCCTTTAGGACTTTCTCAGGACAGATTATGTATATACCACTTTCCCTTGATGATAGAGTGGTGCTATGATGCATGCCCAACTTTATGGCTTAGTAAGTCAAAACTTGGTGGTGGGCAGCTCAGGTCACATAGTAACTTAGTGGCCCTGGTGAAGTGTTCACCCTCTACTAAGGCCCATTAGTAGACACAAGATGTTTCTCAAAAGGTCATAGATGATGGCAGGGCTTTGCTCCAAAATTCAAAGGTCCTGTGATATAATTTTATGGGCTTCCTAAAGGCTACAAACAGCATCCCTATTTTCCACTGACATTTTGAGCATCATTGAGTCCATTAGATAATATGAACCATGGAAGCCTGCATCTGTTGCAGAGCCTTCTCTTGATTTGGGTCCCACTAAAACAACCAGCTTTTCAAGTCAGTTGGTAAATGGGCCTGAGTAACACACCAAAATGAGGAGTGTATTGCTGCCAAAATCAAAAAGGGACAATTCGATGCTATGCCCCTTTTTTGGTTGTGTCTTGACATACCAAGTTATACCTCAAAAGAAAGACCCAAAAATGTTTTGGAACAAGGATGAAAAAATCTAAAGACAATCTGATGAAAACAAGATGCAAAAAAGAAGGCGTTTTAAATAAGTCTACAAGAAAAGACATGTTGGTTCCGATATGTTGCCACTGGATCCCTAGAAATTTTATTGACATAGAAATCCCCTAGATTTTTGTTGAATTTATCAGGTGAAATATTTTATCACTCTCTGACATGCAAATGTCTCATCAATAAGTCTAGAGATGTTATTACTTGCTCACTAAGTCCAAACCAGCATAGTATCAATATAAGGAATCAGTGTGATATCTTGTGGAAGGGAAAAATGATCAAGATCCCTGTGAACTAAATTATGACATAAGACTAGAAAGTTGCTATATCCTTGAAGTAGGACTGTGCAGGTGTATTGTTGACCTTGCAGCTGAAAGTAAATGTCTCCTCGTGGTATTTACTAACAGGTATATAAAACAAAATCTTTGCCTGAACAATAGCACCATACCATGTACTTAGGGGTGTGTTAATTTACTTAAACAATAAAATCATATCTGGTACAGTGGCTGCAATTGAAGTCACTGCCTGGTTAAGCTTATGATATTGTACTGTCATTCTCTAAGATGGATTCATCTTCTCTATAGGCCAAATAAATGAGTTGAATGGGATATGGTGGGAATCATAACCTCTGCATTTTCAAGTTTTTGATGGTGGCACTAATCTCTACAATTTCTCAAGGAATGCAGTATTTCTTTTGGCTTACTGTTTTGTTTTTGTTTTGTTTAAGTAAGGCCCTTGGTCTTTCCCATCATAAAGCCCTCACTTTGTAGGTCAAGCGATTGTGCCAGTTACTGAGGATATCTATTTCAATTATGCATTATGGAACCAAGGAAAAAACACAGGGAACACACTGAGCCAAGTATAAGCTAAAATTGAGCTAAAATTCCATTGATCACTTGACCTCTATCAGCATCCATTCTGATTGGTGGATCACAGTGACATTTTGGATCTCTTAGAATTAGTATCAGTTCAGAGTATTAGGTAGGCTGAAAAAGGTCTGAATAGTTCCTTTTCCCAATGCACAGTTATTCTGGTTAAAGGCCATAGATTCCTTAAGGGGAATCTGGAGGAAAAATTAACAATATCAATTTTTGAGAGCACACTAGAGTCCTTTTTTAAGGGAACCCAGGCTGTGAAACTGGTGCAAGTCTGGGAATTGAATGTGGGGCTGAGACTCTCTGTTTTTATTATTTGCTGTAGACTTTGTTCACTAGACATAAAACTTTTCTTATACAGATCAAGCGAGAATTGACTAGGGTTCTTATCCTTTTCTTTTCTATTGTTTCATAATCAGCTAGCCAATGCCATATGCTTGCATGAATCAGGCTATTCTGGTTGTACTTTGACTCTACTGTCCATTACACTAACCACGTCCACCTTGCCTTTGCTGGGTAAGTTCCGCCACTTGCTCCCAACACCCCAGGATTCAGTTATTCCCATTGCATTTACATTGTCCAGTTCAGTGACTGCAGTCACAGTAAGGCCTGACCTAGAGAGAACAATAATAGAGCTCTTCAAGGATGTCGAGTCTTCCCTCACAAGTGTATTTCTCTCAGTCATGATGAACAGTATGGACCCTAGGTATGGATCCACCCTACTGTGGGTGAGCAAGTCTTAAATGAAACGCCAGCTCTAACATTCTAATCTTCTTGAATTCTTTTCTGTGCACTAAACCAATGCAGGTCCAGCATTGCCATTTCATTTGCTGTGGACCATCTTTTGGCCTGTGCTTCAGCCAATCAACCAAACAAATTGTTAGAAACCTTTTTAACTCCCTGAGCTTCCACATTAAATGCAAAATATCTACTTAGTGGGCCCCTATCAATAAATTCAATCCATTCAAATTTGATTTTCCTTCTACCAGTATTCCAAGCCGATAACATTTATTCTCACACATGTTCCCCAGATTTCTGCTTATATAAACAAGAAAATTCAAGTAGTTTATTTGGAGTGTAGTGCATCTTTTCATGGTTCACACATTTTCCCTCAGTTTCAGGACCCTGAAGGGTCTTGAGCCTACCTGTAAGTCTCGAAGCAATAAAAGTTGGTGTGGGTGGATTCTGAAGAAAATCAGCATTGTCTTAGATGGCAGCTTCCTCAGGGTAGGCTATTATACTTTCCTCAGGCAATGCAGTGGTTATTTCTTTCAGGTTGTGGTTGAGAGGATGCTTCTATCACTGAGAGTGGAAAGGTAGAGAGACCTCTTCCACTGGGAGGGAAAAAGAGTCATTAGAATTTAGAGGCTCCGTGTTCACTGCTTTATGAAGATCTGCCCATGCATCCCCATTTCCACTTACAAGATGCTGTTCTTTCCCATTGAATACCCTCACTTCAGTCATAGACACTCTGAAGTGCTGGAACTTAGACTTGTATTGTAATTAGCCAGTTACAAAATGAGATTGTGTGCCTATAGGAGAGTGGGGTCTCCTTCAGAGCACACATAGAAAGTTTTAGATTATTCATGCCGCACTTGAGCTGGGAATTCAGATTTCTGAGCTCATCTTTGTCCAGGAACATTAAGAGAAGCAACCAAGCTCATTGTTTGTTAATTTCCTAAAAATGTTTGAAAGTATCATATATATGCAGTGACCTGGCTTCTTTCTTCTTCTAAGTCGTTGATTAAGAGTATACAATAGAGATACTTGGTATACCTTTATTGCCATATTATACTATAGACTATCAATACTCTACTCCTGGAAAATGAGTAATCACCATTTTTAAATCTAGTTAAATAGCCAATTCAGAAACCCTAGAAAAAAAACTGAACAAACTCGGACTTAACATTCTGTTTCTCTAGAACTACTTTTAGTACAAAAATATTTAGAAAAATAGAAATAGAAGCAATGGAATCTATCTAGTCTCTCTGTTAATAATTTAAAAGAAATTATTATTAAAAATTGATTTTCAATTAGGTACACTGATAAGTCCCCATATTTCAGTTCACAAGCTAGTGACCCACAAGGGCCAATGGTTTAGTTTTGGCTCAAGTCTTAGTTGAAGGTAAGACCAATGTCCCAGCACAAAAATAGTCAGAGAGAGAGAGAGAATTCTTACTCAGCCTTCTGATTCTATTCAGCCCTTCAATGGATTGAAACAGGCCCACCCACACTGGGGAAGACAATCTGATTTATTTTATCCACCTAGTCCATTATTAATGCCATCTAGAATCACTCTCATAGATATACCCAGAAATAATGCTTAACCAAATATGTGCGCATCCTGTGGCCCAATTGAGTTTACACATAAAATTAACCATCTCAGATACTACAATTAAAAAAACAAAAAAAATGAACTCACATAATGCTACATCTTCTTAAAGATAGAATGTAAACGTGCAGTAGAAAAGAACACAAAAATACGGAAGCAAAAAGAGAGATGATTTTCGTCAGGAATTTGGTGGAGCAGGGATTCAGATACAAGAGTGAAGCAAATGGTATGCTCCTACTTGCCACTGGAGGTTGAAAGGCACCGTCAAACCCATCTTGGTTATCTATTAGTGAATTTTGTAGGAATTGATAACTTTTTTCCCTGCTAGTGCTAGTAGCAACTTGGGTAGCCTTCTCATACAACAAACCTTGTATGAGAACTACTTACTAAGGAAAGACAAATGGTGTTTTACAGCTTGACTATCTTTGCTTTTCATTTTCTCTACCATAATGGAAATTTTTGCAATACATTCTAGTAGATGATTTGCCCCAAGGAACTAATCATCCTTCCATACCCCAATATTCTACTCTTTTTTCCTGAGCTTATTTTTAATAGGACTAATGGAAAGATATTTTCCATACTTTTTTTTAACAATAAAAGCATATATATTATCCAAAGTCAGCTAGTGAATTCGTGGGTAAGAGAAAAAGTACTATCTATGCATTGAGAAAGATGCACTTTTAAAATTAAGCCATATTTACTACCAGATCACCTTAGGTTAAAAAATGCTAACATAACTTTGTTCTTTTTATCTCCTTCATAGGAAAGATGTTATATTTTGTGAGATTTTACAGATCTTTGTGTGATGTTTTCCTGGCCTGGTAATTTGCATTAATGGATATTCAAGAAACCAATTTATACAGCTCACTGGTGTAAGTTATAACAAAGTCTGGAGACATATGAGGACACATTTTCAGTAGGCTTTTGAAAATGTGCTGACACATTTTAGGAATGCATCTGTTTTTGCTTGCAAAAACTCACATTTATGTGTGCAACATGAGAAATTGAATGCACAAACAGGTGGTTTTAAATACTCAGGCAGAATTTAAATGGAGATACTCACAACCTTACTGGAGCCTTTGAAAATTACCCTGAATCTCACAGTTAGATCAGTGGCAAATGTTTTAGGATTTATAATATTTGTGATCTTATTATTTAATTTGAAATAGCACTAGATAAAATGTCTTATAGACATCTTTCTAGCTTTAATAATGATGTATTATGTGAAATTGAATAAGTTGTAAATTTGCTTTACACTTTGATGTTTATATATTAACTAAAAATAGCACATTAATCACAGAGAGTAAATACATATAAAAAATTCTAATTCAATACCAAACCTCTTTTAAAGATATGTATAAAACTATAAACTATGTATGAAATGATGCATCATAAAGACATTAGATCTTTAGTCACGTCCATGTGAATCATACATATGTATACACAAGTAGACATAACAAAAACTTGTTTATGGTTCTATAAGCATCAGAAATTCTGTTAATTAATGGAAATCCAAAAGGTTAATAATGACTCTTGCATCAAGACACACTGAGTCTGTTACAAAGTGATATTCATACATACTTAAAGAATTTCAGATAAATGATAGAAAAATGAAGAATATACTGAGAATCACAAATAATAATATGATTTTAGGAAAAAGATGGCAGTGTATGATGTATATTGGACAGTCAAGAGGGATGTCTAAGGAGAATGAGTTTGACCTGAATACTGAAAATGTTGTGTCTGTAAAAGTAAAGTGAGAATAAAGGACATTTATGAAAAATGAAAATTAATTTTTAAAAAGGTAGCACTAGGAATGCAACACAATATGTATAAAATTTGTTAAGATGATAGAATTCATAAGATCTGATGAGAGGTAGGAAGGAGCCAAATACATGTCCAAGTTTCTGATTTGAGTTATTATATGGATAATGAAAGAGTTAGGAAATATAGAAAATTCAAAAGCTTTGTGTTTGAGGTGATGGTGATTTCTGCTTTAGATAAATATAACTTGAAACTATCTATGGGTCCTTAGAGTGAATATACCCAGCAGGCAGTGAAATCTGTCGGTTTAGAGCCTGGAGAACTAATATCATATATATCAGGGCTTCTCCAGTCAAAAAAAAAAAAATCAGAATCACTTTGATGTTTTTTTCCCAGTTACAGAGACAATACCCCTGTCAAAATTATTGACCTGAAAGAGCAATACAAGGTTGCATTTGGAAAAAATTTCCCTGTATTTTGATATGCATTTTAGATTTAGATCTCCTGGTGCTGGTTGAGTGGAGGGTACTACCA